AAAGAGTGTGTGTGGGGGGAGGGAGGTTAGTTGCCAGGAAAGGCTAGTTAGAGTCAAGATGCATAAGTAACTGAGCGACAAGTATAGCTGAGATTGCATTAAAGCAGTTGGTAAGACCTGTGAATGGCAGCAAATTAGCATAAGTAGCAAACTTTCTATAATGGGCTGCATTATTGTATTTGTATGCTAATTTGCTGCCATTCACAGGTCTTAGTAAAGGTAAAAGTTTCCCTTGCTCGACAGCCAGTCGAATCCGACTCTAGGATTGCGGTGCTCATCTCCGTTTCAAAGCCGAAGAGCCAGCGCTGTCCGAAGACGTTTCCGTGGTCATGTGGCCGGCATGACTAAACACCGAGGCGCACGGAACGCTGTTCCCTTCCCACCAAAGTGGTACCTATTTATCTACTTGCAATTTCTTGCTTTCGAACTGCTAGGTTGGCAGGAGCTGGAACTAGAGACGGGCGCTCACTCTGTCATGCGGCACACTCGGGTCTCGAACTGCTGAACTACTGACCTTCCACAGCCTGCAGTTCAGCGTCTTAACCACTTGAGCCACTGCAGCTCCACTGCCTGCCTCTGCCTCACGGGTCATACCAGCTGCTTTAATGCAATCTTAGCTGTACATATTGCTCAGTTTACTTATGCATCTTTTTTTTTTAATAAAGATTTTATTGACTCCCCTAAAAAGGGGAGGTATTTCGCTTAAAAGAAGAAATGGGGAGGGTAGATAGTGGGAGAAAGAGAAAGCTGAGGGATATATAAACTGGTAAATTAAACTGTTAGTAGTGTCCAAATATTCTTCTTAGGCTTCTTCTGTGTGTTGTCAAACATCTTTTCTTAATCCGGTTACACAAAGTTCTCTGTTAGTATGTTAGTAATGTTCCTTTGAATTTCTGTTAAAAAAAGGAAAAAAAAGTCTCTTCCGGGTGCATTCAGAACCGCTTCTTCGCGTGCTGGTTACTTTTACACTCGCTGTGAAGGAGCTTCCACTGTTTTCCTCTCCTTCCGGCTTTGTTCGATCGTCCTTGAGGTTGCTGTTAACTTCTTCCTTTCATGCCATTCAGGAGGTCTCCCGCTTTAAATAAGCATGTCCAATTCCACAAAGCCCAGTCTTATATCTTGGAGTGCAGCTTATCAAAAACCTTAAGCCTGTATCCCCAAGACCAGAAATTGAAGAATGAGGTACAGCAAGATTTGCAGTTGGGTGGAGGGATGTGTATTTATGGTGTGGAGGAATATCTGTGATAAAAATGGATGTGCTCCCTTCACAAGGAAAGCCACTACAGGAATCCAAAATGTCATAAAAAATTAATTTTCTCCATTTGGTGTCATATTGAAGTCAGTGTTCCTATATGGGTTGTTATTGTCCCATATCTTAGAAAACTTTTCATATACTTTCATCTTCTTTTGAGTATCTGATTCTCTTCAGAGAACACAGTTCCCTACTGGATATATGTCATGCAATCAGGCATGAAAATACTATTGAAAATGTGCTTGAGATTCCCCCACCCCCACCCCGAAAGTTCAGCTCACCTCTTGCATTATAAGCGCTTGGCAGGCACTTCTCGCTGTCACAGTTCAAACTTTTCCGTTTTTCAAAATCCCCCGTCAGATTCACAGCCATAAACAGTCCAAGCATTAAGCAGCCGGCTCTCCCATACAAGCAAACGCCCAGACGGAAGTCCCTCCCTTCTTCTCCGCTCGCCTTTACCCAGCTCCGACATCTTTTTTTTATTATTTTTAATAAAGTTCTTAAAATGCGCTCCAGAGAAACAAAACCTTTTCTTGCTTATTTTCAAGTACATCAAAGGAAAACATCACTATTCGCTCAGT